GTGTGTGTGTGTGTGTGTGTGTGTGAGGGTGTGTGTGTGTGTGTGGGGGTGTGTGTGTGTGTGTGTGTGAGTGTGTGTGTGTGTGTGTACTGGTTTATATATTCTGGTGGGGACTTAAACCTGAATACACACAGACTCATGGGGACCCGTGTCACGGTGGGGACCTAAATTGAGGTCTCCATGGGTACAAAAGCTTATAAATCATACAGAGAGATTTTTTGAGAAAGTAAAAATGCAGAAAGTCTCCTGTGAGGGGTAGGTTTAGGGGTAGGGTTGGTGTAGGGCAATAGAATATACAGTCTGTACAGTATAAAAACCATTACGCCTATGGAGAGTCCCTATAAACCATGGAAACACAACATGTGTGTGTGTCGCAGCAAGAGCAGAACATCAAGCCGCAGTACTTCACCTTCCGCTGGCTGACGCTGCTGCTCTCTCAGGAGTTCCTGCTTCCAGACGTCATCCGGATCTGGGATTCGCTCTTCTCGGATCAGGAGCGGTTCGAGTTCCTCATCCCTGTGTGCTGCGCCATGCTCACGTAAGATCTGACACACAGACGGCTTTAAAACACAATTAATGCATTCAGAATATTTCAAAATATTCAGTAATATTTAACTATTGGATGAGAACAAAATTTGAACTGAAATGATCTGAATAACGACTCTGTTGTCTTCTGCAGAGCTGCAGCTGAAATTGAGTTTGTTTCATAATAGATTCATTTTAGTACATTAACTATCATTGTTCTGTTCATTACTGCAAAGCTGCTTTGAACAAAATAAAATGAGAAATGATTGACTGGTTTTTCTTCTGTTCCTCACGTCTTTGTGTTTTTGCAGACTGATTAGAGATCAGTTACTGGCTGGAGACTTTACAACTAACATGAGATTACTGCAGGTAACACTCACACACTCACTCACTCACACACTCACTCAGACACTCACTCACTCACTCACTCACACACTCACTCACACACACACTCACTCACACACTCACTCACTCACTCACAGGCAGACACACACACACTCCTAACATGTGTTCTGCTGTTCTTCAGGATTATCCCATCTCTGATGTTCATGCCATCCTCATTAAAGCGAAAGAACTGCAGGATGATTTGTAGCTGCCACGCCCCCTTAGGCTCCGCCTCCAGCCTGATTATTGACAGCAGTGCCGCCCATCTCACCCGGGTGGGATCCAGCGTTTGCCTTTGTGTGATTGAGCGTTTGGTCTTACTGTCCCTCAGGTAGACGTGTGTGTGTGTGTGTGTGTGTGTGTGTCTGAGTGAGTGTGTGTGTGTGTGAGGCGCTCAAGTTGTTTATTGTTGCACTGAATGATTTTAAAGACCAATACACTGACACACTCTCTCTCTCTCTCTCTCTCTCTCTCTCTCTCTCACACACTCACACACACTCACTCACTCTCTCACACACACACTCACTCACTCACTCACTCTCTCTCTCACACACACACTCACTCACTCACTCACTCTCTCTCTCACACACACACTCACTCACTCACTCACTCTCTCTCTCACACACACACTCACTCACTCACTCACTCTCTCTCTCACACACACACTCACTCACTCACTCACTCTCTCTCTCACACACACACTCACTCACTCACTCACTCTCTCTCTCACACACACACTCACTCACTCACTCACTCTCTCTCTCACACACACACTCACTCACTCACTCACTCTCTCTCTCACACACACACTCACTCACTCACTCACTCTCTCTCTCACACACACACTCACTCACTCACTCACTCTCTCTCTCACACACACACTCACTCACTCACTCACTCTCTCTCTCACACACACACTCACTCACTCACTCACTCTCTCTCTCACACACACACTCACTCACTCACTCACTCTCTCTCTCACACACACACTCACTCACTCACTCACTCTCTCTCTCACACACACACTCACTCACTCACTCACTCTCTCTCTCACACACACACTCACTCACTCACTCACTCTCTCTCTCACACACACACTCACTCACTCACTCACTCTCTCACACACTCACTCACTCACTCTCACACACACACACACACACACACACTCTCTCTCTCTCTCTCACACACACACACACAGAAACACTCCAGAACTTTGGTCTTAAATACTACAATATAAAAACAGAACAGAGGGAAAGATTGGTCATGTGATGGACTTTATACAGCTGTATTTATATCAATGATTGTTTACTGTCTCTGACTGTCTGTTGCGTTTATTACCTGATCACGTATCTTTCACAAATGAACAAAACTACAGTCCTGCAGATGGATGGAGTGAACTGAAGCTTGATTCAGTGCTGTTCTGGAGAATCGCTCGATTATTGATGCACATGGATTCATTCAGGAACAGCATGAACTCTTTGATTCTCTCCAGAAGCGGCTCAACACTACAGACTGACCTCAGATCAGCTACTGCAGCGTGTCTGAGTCTCTCGTTCATCTACAGATCTGACGGCTTTATCGTCCCGTCAGCGACGTCATCAATCTGCACTAATAATCTGCATTAATTGCTCTTCATGCGTTTCTTCACACTGATAACCGAGCGCTCGTGTTTCTCTGGGGGAGAATCGTTTACGATTGTTTAATCGTTAGTGTTTTTATAAATGCTGCAGTTCATTTTTTAATGTCATGTTTTTGTATTTTAAAGCTCAGAGGATGTTGGGGAATGAAGGATCTTCTTTTAATCGGGGATTGTCAGGCCACACGTGTCTTTCTGTGACTGTGTTCGTTCATTATGTACTTTTGAAAACCATCGTTTTTCTTTTGCATGTGCAGATGTTTTTGTATGAACACATCTATAGTTCTTGCTGTTGTATATCAATGTTTTTACAGTGCTTGCGGATGCACAATAAAAAATTCAACCTTAAAATCTCTTTAAATGCAATTATGACTGTATGCTTTGATGCTAAGGACTGAGGTGGTTCAGAGCAGGCATAGTCAGGACTACTGTATATACCTGAGTGCATATCAGGAGGATCCCAGCGTAAGGAACAAGAGGATAGTTTCTTTTTAATGTCGTCCCGGATCGTGTCTGAGGATTGATCGGAGTGTTTTGTTTTGTAAACGAGGCACAGTGTCATGGAGAGTCACAAAGAAACATTTGTTAAAAGATGAAGCGGTACTAGATCTGACTGCAGCTGCATCACAAACCATAAGTACATGATTTCATAATGCTTTGTCTGGAAATGACCGAATGTTGTCAAAACACTCGCATGCAATAGTGTGGGGTGTTAATACGGTGTCCTATGCAGTGACGTTAGCCAATCATACCAGTGGCTGATTACTGACAAGCCTTAAAGGACACGCCCCTTAAAAACTGCTTGTTTTAGAAAGAGGGTCAGAATGAGGGTTTACTTTAAAGCGGTCACAGGATGCCCATTTTCCACAAGTTGATATGATTTTTAGGGTCTTAATGAAAAGTCTGTAACATAGTTTGGTTCAAATTTCTCAATGGTAGTGTAAAAACACCTTTTTACCCTGTCAAAAACAGCTCTTTTCAGATCAAGCCGTTTTGTAGCATTTCCCTTTAAATGTTAATGAGCTCTGCTGACCCCGCCCCTCTCTTCCGAGCCACTCTCAGAGAGACGGTTTACTTTAGCCGCATTCATCGTGAAACTTGCTAATTAGCACATTATTAGGAAAGGCGATTTGCAAAGATTCATTACAAAACATTACACTCACTTCTTCTGTAGATGAGGCTGGATCACGAATGATTCGCGTGAACATAAACGCATTTATGTAGATCGGGGGCGCATTCCCCATCTCTGGAGAGACCTAAGAATGGCTGTCCACCAACGTTTACCATCCAACCTGACAGAACTGGAGAGGATCTGCAAGGAGGAATGGCAGAGGATCCCCAAATCCAGGTGTGAAAAACTTGTTGCATCTTTCCCAAAAAGACTCATGGCTGTATTAGATCAAAAGGGTGCTTCTACTAAATACTGAGCAAAGGGTCTGAATACTTAGGACCATGTGATATTTCAGTTTTTCTTTTTTAATAAATCTGCAAAAATGTCAACAATTCTGTGTTTTTCTGTCAATATGGGGTGCTGTGTGTACATTAATGAGGAAAAAAATGAACTTAAATGATTTTAGCAAATGGCTGCAATATAATAAAGAGTGAAAAATTTAAGGGGGTCTGAATACTTTCCGTACCCACTGTATGTTCAAACAGCTTGTGAAAGTGCATGTAGCATCCTATGGCCCCTTTAAAATGATAATTTTCCCACTTTTTTTGTGCAAAAAACTTTATTAACATTATAAGTAAACCTCAAGGAACATATGAAAATAATATTTTAAAAAATCCATGTCGTGACCCCTTTAACTCAGAAAGATTGTGAAGGATTCATCAGTGCATGTGTTTCTTTTCTCTCTTTTTTTCATTTTAATCATAAATGCCAGGAGTTTTTTTTATTTTCTCTTGTATCTTTATCCTGTTAATATTGTTTATTAAATGTTTATTAAAACTCAGCAACACAACTGTAGCTGTACAACTTTACAACAGCAACACGGCAAGATTTATTTGACTTTCTGTTTACTCTATTTTGCAAAATCAGACAATATTGTGTGTAATATACATCACAGTATTAACTTATTGTAAATAAATATCACATTTGGAACTGGTCAGTGTTCAAAAAACGCTGGGAAATCTCTTAATGTAGCCCTACAAGAGAGATTACTGATAAACTGTCTGCCTTTCTACTTCGAGGACCGCGAGAGAAGTGTAGTTAGCCATAAGTTTCCAGGAAAAACAATACTCAAGTACAGATCCGCAGAAAGTGTACTCGAGCACAGTGCTCAGTACATGTACTTCATTACTGTCCTCCTCTGGTTATTACATTACAGCTGTTTGAAACCCTCGCATACTGTTCTGAAGCAGTGGGCTATGCAGTATGCACTGTGCAGTACGCAGCACACTAGTATGCAGTCAGCAGCGCTCTGTTTCCATGGAAACTCCTCCAGCAGCGAGGCCTCCATCCGTGTGTCATACATGAAGTGCGCCTGATGTAGTGTGTAGTATGTAGTGTGTAGTATGTAGTCATCTTCAGCGAGCACACGCCCTCCGCTCCCGTCGCAGACCCGCATCAGATCCGGATCAGAGTCAAGGACGCGGCCGCAGAACACATCATCAGATCCGGAGCCTCCGCGGGATTCGGGCCCGATTCGGATTCCGCGAGCGCTGATGGAAACGGACACACGGATCCGATCCGGATCAGATGTTCACGAGTGAAAGCCCGGGATCAGATCGATTAATGACGGATCAACAGATCTGCGGGGAAATATGCATGTGATGTGAAATCATTTCTGCGCTGATTCTTCTTCTTCAGCATCGCCTGCCTCCATTTTGAATCTGATTTAACATCAGGATTGTATTCGTGATTCCTGATTTCTTCCTCTCAGTCGCAGCTTATGGGGCTTTGTATAAAGCGGATTGTCGATCACTGAAGCCGGATTCTGTCTCGTATTGATCCGATCTGATCAAAGACAGGCTCGAAGTGATTCCAGCAGATTCGGCTCGGAGATGGAGGATTCGGATCAGTGAATATGTGCCCCTCATGAGAGAGGGGTGTTCATCTGCCCTGAACCCCGATGAAGATGATGAAGATGATGATGCTGGAGACACAGGTATCTCCCTCTCTCTCACACACACACACGCGCACACACACACACAGACAGACACACACACACACACTCTCACACACACACACACACACACACACACACACACACACACACACACACACACACCTGTCTATATAAGACCTTACAGCTCACAGTGCATGTCAGAGCAAATGAGAATCATGAGGTCAAAGGAACTGCCTGAAGAGCTCAGAGACAGAATTGTGGCAAGGCACAGATCTGGCCAAGGTTACAAAAAATTTCTGCTGCACTTAAGGTTCCCAAGAGCACAGTGGCCTCCATTCCTTAAATGGAAGACGTTTGGGATGATCAGAACCCTTCCTAGAGCTGGCCGTCCGGCCAAACTGAGCTATCGGGGGCGAAGAGCCTTGGTGAGAGAGGTAAAGAAGAACCCAAAGATCACTGTGGCTGAGCTCCAGAGATGCAGTTGGGAGATGGGAGAAAGTTGTAGAAAGTCAACCATCACTGCAGCCCTCCACCAGTCGGGGCTTTATGGCAGAGTGGCCCGACGGAAGCCTCTCCTCAGTGCAAGACACATGAAAGCCTGCATGGAGTTTGCTAAAAAACACCTGAATAAGATTCTCTGGTCTGATGAGACCCAGATAGAACTTTTTGGCCTTAATTCTAAGCGGTATGTGTGGAGAAAACCAGGCACTGCTCATCACCTGTCCAATACAGTCCCAACAGTGAAGCATGGTGGTGGCAGCATCATGCTGTGGGGGTGTTTTTCAGCTGCAGGGACAGGACGACTGGTTGCAATCGAGGGAAAGATGAATGCGGCCAAGTACAGGGTTATCCTGGACGAAAACTTTCTCCAGAGTGCTCAGGACCTCAGACTGGGCCGAAGGTTTATCTTCCAACAAGACAATGACCCTAAGCACACAGCTAAAATAATGAAGGAGTGGCTTCACAACAACTCTGTGACTGTTCTTGAATGGGCCAGCCAGAGCCCTGACTTAAACCCAATTGAGCATCTCTGGAGAGACCTAAAAATGGCTGTCCACCAACGTTTACTATCCAACCTGACAGAACTGGAGAGGCTCTGCAAGGAGGAATGGCAGAGGATCCTCAAATCCAGGTGTGAAAAACTTGTTGCCTCTTTCCCAAAAAGACTCATGGCTGTATTAGTTCAAAAGGGTGCTTCTACTAAATACTGAGCAAAGGGTCTGAATACTTAGGACCATGTGATATTTCAGTTTTTCTTTTTTAATAAATCTGCAACAATGTCAACAATTCTGTGTTTTTCTGTCAATATGGGGTGCTGTGTGTACATTAATGAGGAAAAAAATGAACTTAAATGATTTTAGCAAATGGCTGCAATATAATAAAGAGTGAAAAATTTAAGGGGGTCTGAATACTTTCCGTACCCACTGTATGTTCAAACAGCTTGTGAAAGTGCATGTAGCATCCTATGGCCCCTTTAAAATGATAATTTTCCCACTTTTTTTGTGCAAAAAACTTTATTAACATTATAAGTAAACCTCAAGGAACATATGAAAATAATATTTTAAAAAATCCATGTCGTGACCCCTTTAACTCAGAAAGATTGTGAAGGATTCATCAGTGCATGTGTTTCTTTTCTCTCTTTTTTTCATTTTAATCATAAATGCCAGGAGTTTTTTTTATTTTCTCTTGTATCTTTATCCTGTTAATATTGTTTATTAAATGTTTATTAAAACTCAGCAACACAACTGTAGCTGTACAACTTTACAACAGCAACACGGCAAGATTTATTTGACTTTCTGTTTACACTATTTTGCAAAATCAGACAATATTGTGTGTAATATACATCACAGTATTAACTTATTGTAAATAAATATCACATTTGGAACTGGTCAGTGTTCAAAAAACGCTGGGAAATCTCTTAATGTAGCCCTACAAGAGAGATTACTGATAAACTGTCTGCCTTTCTACTTCGAGGACCGCGAGAGAAGTGTAGTTAGCCATAAGTTTCCAGGAAAAACAATACTCAAGTACAGATCCGCAGAAAGTGTACTCGAGCACAGTGCTCAGTACATGTACTTCATTACTGTCCTCCTCTGGTTATTACATTACAGCTGTTTGAAACCCTCGCATACTGTTCTGAAGCAGTGGGCTATGCAGTATGCACTGTGCAGTACGCAGCACACTAGTATGCAGTCAGCAGCGCTCTGTTTCCATGGAAACTCCTCCAGCAGCGAGGCCTCCATCCGTGTGTCATACATGAAGTGCGCCTGATGTAGTGTGTAGTATGTAGTGTGTAGTATGTAGTCATCTTCAGCGAGCACACGCCCTCCGCTCCCGTCGCAGACCCGCATCAGATCCGGATCAGAGTCAAGGACGCGGCCGCAGAACACATCATCAGATCCGGAGCCTCCGCGGGATTCGGGCCCGATTCGGATTCCGCGAGCGCTGATGGAAACGGACACACGGATCCGATCCGGATCAGATGTTCACGAGTGAAAGCCCGGGATCAGATCGATTAATGACGGATCAACAGATCTGCGGGGAAATATGCATGTGATGTGAAATCATTTCTGCGCTGATTCTTCTTCTTCAGCATCGCCTGCCTCCATTTTGAATCTGATTTAACATCAGGATTGTATTCGTGATTCCTGATTTCTTCCTCTCAGTCGCAGCTTATGGGGCTTTGTATAAAGCGGATTGTCGATCACTGAAGCCGGATTCTGTCTCGTATTGATCCGATCTGATCAAAGACAGGCTCGAAGTGATTCCAGCAGATTCGGCTCGGAGATGGAGGATTCGGATCAGTGAATATGTGCCCCTCATGAGAGAGGGGTGTTCATCTGCCCTGAACCCCGATGAAGATGATGAAGATGATGATGCTGGAGACACAGGTATCTCCCTCTCTCTCACACACACACACGCGCACACACACACACAGACAGACACACACACACACACTCTCACACACACACACACACACACACACACACACACACACACACACACAGGTTTGTTTTTGT